ACACACACACACACACACACACACACACACACACACACACACACACACACACACACACACACACACACACACGATTCTTTGGCACTAATGATATGTGTTTATAACTCCCCAGAACGGTGATTTTTTTATCTCTATTTTCTTTATTTTCTCTCTTTAGCGGTATAGCCTCTCCCGCGCATGCGTAGTACGGACTTGGCAAGCTGTGGCTGATCGCGCATGCTGTCTATTCACTAACTTCGAAGTTCCTTTTCTTCTTCTCAAGTGGGCGTCGGTTATTGAATGACTTCCGTGACAGATGAAGTTATTTTCCTTCTTTGCATATGAATATCGGTTATTAGAATTGTTATTGACTAAGAGAGAGATAGTAAGAGCGGTTTATTTTAATATGTGGCCTAAAATATTTCATATATATATATATATATATATATATATATATATATATATATATATATATATATATATATATATATATCCTGTTTTGACTTTTACGGTCCAATACCTAGTCATAAAGTTTATAGAAGAGGTTACCTTGAGTGTCCGTTACATTATACGTTATAAAAAGACTATAATAAATTCTAGGTCTCTCTCCCTCCTTCAAATCTCTGTCTGTCTAGCCTGTTCCTCTCTCTCTCTCTCTCTCTCTCTCTCTCTCTCTCTCTCTCTCTCTCTCTCTCTCTCTCTCTCTCTCTAATAGAAACAAAATTACGATAGTTTCTTATATTTAGAAATAATAGTAATAATGTTAAAATCTGTTGTTCATTATTTTCCATCATTCTTTGTTACGTTACTGATTAAAGCTAAAATGAATATAACGAATCTCCACCAACACTTAATATTCTTGGAACTAGTGACATTATCTCCGTTCTTTCCTCCCCCCCCTCCCCCCCTCCCCTTCCCCCCTCCCCCTCCCCGTCCTCCTCCCCTTCCCCCTCCCCTTCCCCTCCTCCTCCTCTCCTCCCCCTCAGACAATGCTACCACACAGCAAACTATCTTACTCAAGAATACAAAGAACTTCACAGTCCGAATACAAAAAGAAAGAAAGAAAAAGAAAAAAATACACATTAGACGAAAATAAAAAAGAAAGAAAAGAAAAAAAAGCTACCGTCATGAGGGTATACAGTGTACAAAGAGTCTATATTTCACCATGAGCGCTGGTCGTCGTGGCGTGAAGCGAACCCCTTTCCGTTTACCTTCCTCGTGCCAGACGACCTTGCAGCGCCATAGCTAGAGGTGCGGCGAAAGGAGGAACTAATCATAGTATTGGATGGCTGAAGGCTTGGGGGGGGGATGAAAAAAACTCCCTTTGGACGGATTTTTGTTAAAAGATGTATGTTTTTTCTCTTGTTTTTTTTTTAATGTTTCGTTTGGTAGTTATAAGATAAATTTGATATCTGTGGAGTAGTTTATTTTGCTGTTTCGGAAAGTGTTTGCGTTCTTTTAAAAGTCTGGTTGTATATGGTCTGTTAGCAAGGAACTGATGAATTGTGAAATAAATCCGTTAATAAAAATCCTTAGGAATTCCAAAGTTATATGTATAATATATATAATAAACAGATGTATATTACGATATGCTCTAACAGAAGCTGTAGGTTGCAATAATGCACTGAATTGAAACCAAACCACAATAGTAATAAATAACATACATACATATATAATACCAAAGGAACACAATGATGCAAGAGAATGAATTATTAACGATTTCCTATAAATTCTTTCTTTAATAAATACCTCCCTATAATAACGTGTGATCTTTTACTTTTCATATTTCCCGCCATAAAAAAAAGTTTTGTTGACAAGAGCCAGGCATACCAACCTGACGAAATGATAAGGAGTAGCGGACATACCAACCTTACTCCTGCAGACCGCACTAACACTTGAAACTCAAAGAGGGGAAAAAAAACAGTTAGAGTGCTGCCTCCTGGGCATAAATGTGTGAGGAAAATCGTCATTATTCAAGTGAATTTACCGATGAAACTACGTAAGATCACGACTCTTGAATTCGCATAAGGTACTGTGGTGCGAATAAACGTTATAGCTATTGACAGTGCCAAGTCTTACAGCTGTCGACAGTGCCAAGTGTTATAGCTATCGACAGTGCCAAGTCTTATAGCTGTCAACAGTGCCAAGTCTTATAGCTGTCGACAGTGCCAAGTGTTACAGCTGTCAACAGTGCTAAGTATTATAGCTGTCAACAGTGCCAAGTCTTATAGCTGTCGACAGTGCCAATAAATGTTATAGCTGTCGGCAGTGCCAAGTTAGTAACAAACTTTGCCTTTGCTTCAAACGTTCCCCGAGTTTCATTTTCACAATAAGAGTTTTCCGTTTAGTAAACGAATAAACGAGTAGATAAGAGAGACGAAAAAATAATACAGGAAAAAAGAAATGCTTAAATAAATGGATATGCAGTAATAGACATAACTAATTATGCAAATGAAGAAACTTTGCAATAACTGCATTCCTCTATATTTTACCATGCCGTGTAATTGCACATTATATTTAT